TTAGCATCGTAATCACTAGCACAATAGTCCTCACTTTGAAAAGAGGCAACGGGAATGTGGAAGGGTGAGTAGAGCCGCATGCCACCGAACAATCAGCCTTTTCACTTTGTAATTCAAAGCATGCAGAGCACGCAGGGCCACAAACTGAGAATTTACGGTTTGGCAGGTGGCCTTCATGGCCAAGCGAGGCTGGAATTCTTGGAGTCGGCTTTCGGGAAGAAATTTGCATCGTCAAGGGGCTAAGCTCCTTTGATCCCTTAGGCTGATCTGATCATGCACAAAAGGCTTTGCGTTATCCCACATTGTTAAAGTTGAGTCCATTCCAAGTTCCTTCTCATTGAGCCAGTCCAGGATGCCTATAAGCACATGCCCAAAAAGAAGCGTGTCTGAGGTCATTCCGACCCACGTGCGAGGTCTGGCCTATCAGCACGGCCCGACTTTGTTCCCGGATGCCCTTGCTTGCTTGAGAGACCGAACCCTCTGATTTCAGTCACAGGTCACCGTGATGAACTGCAGGGGAATGTCAAAGTTCCTTTGAATAGCTCAAGACTTGGTTTTGTTTTTTGGGGGTTTGGTATTGTTACTCTTTTCGTAGGCTGTTACCGGTGGACACTGGATCATACTCGAAGACATCGACTACGCACCGATGGACGTCATCTCCGTACTGGTGCCCTTGCTTGAAGCCGGTTCCCTCTCTCTGCCTGGGCACGGTGATGTGGTCCGGGCGGCCCCAGGATTCCAGCTCTTTGCCACACAGCGCTTGACGGCTGGCAGCGGCGGTTTCTTCAGGCAGCATGCATCCCACGCTGCACTGCTGGACCGGATGTGGACGAAGGTCAACGTCCAGCCCCTTTCGAGGGAGGAGCTTCAGGAGGTACTTTGGAGGGTGTGCCTGACAACCCCCTGCCTATTTCTCTCAAAAGTTTTGAGGAATCCCAAGTTATTCAGGGATGGGTTGCGTTTTCGTGTATTACTTGATTGGGCAGCCTGGTGAAAATGGGCATTACGCCGACGATAAATGTTGAGTGTGTTCCTATCAATTTACATAATGCAAATTCGTTTGAATGAAGGACCCATTTTGTCAGATTGGGTGCACTCATAAACCACAGACGTATATAAAAAACCTGGACTTGCAACGCCTTTGTATGAAAAAGAAGCCAACCAGCGGCCATTTTACCGAGCCGAATACAAAGGCGTGGGTAGGCTCCCTTCTATTGACGTCAGGAAGAACAAAGGCGGGCATTGCCAGGAAAGCTTTGTATTCGGCTCGGTAAAATGGCCGCGAGTGGATTCAATTATCTCTATAAGCTGATTAAGGGCATTGCGAGTCCAGATTTTATTATACACGTCCGTGTCATAAACCCCATTGATTTCCCACGTTCCAACCCATTCGTTGACTTTTTACGCCCAGGTGGTTGCGACCCTTTATCCCAACCTGACCTCTGTTGTGGACAAGCTCCTAGATATATTCATCATGCTATCGTCTGGCAACCATGACGACGGCCAAGAGACTGAAGCCAAGAGTGGCCCAGTTGAACAGCACGGTTCTGTCGTGACCCCTGCAGAGGTCACAGGTCATCTGGGACGGCTCATATCTACAAGGTAGACAAGAATTCTTCTTAAAAGACAATTTGAAACAAAAAAAAACAAAGGAGCTTTGTTTTGTTTCGCCACAAAGTAATTTTCAAAACAGATGTTTCTTTTACTTTTAAGCTAAAATTATTTAAATTTTATCCCTTTTTTCACATTGGCATCTTTGTATCAATCAGGTTTTTGCAAAGAAAATTATAATAGTGAAACTTTTGCAGAGCTTGCATGCTCTTTGTCAGAAAGCCAAGCAGACACTCAGTTTGTTGACTGAGTTG